TTTGTGTGTGTGTGTGTGTGTGTGTGTGTGTGTGTATGTGTGTATTTTTTTTTTAAAGCTTATAACACTAGAACTGAGCAGAAGCAAATTTGAACTATATTGAGAATAATCTAGATTATTTTGACATATTGGGGGAATGCAGAAAAGTCTATACACACAAAAACAAAAACATCCTGTTCTTACCCCCTCTGGTTACAACAAAAACTGTTGAGCATTCGGACTCCCAGTCTCTGCCTTTAGTTAGCTGCATCCATAGACAGCTTTGCTTTACTTCAGAATTTATTATTGCTTTAGGACTGTGGATGTTGCCATTGCTAAAACTGAAACTTGGTTATTTAGCTCTATAAATATTACCTGGGATTTATGGGTGGCCAACAGTAAGGAAGAAATAAAGCAGTAGACTTCACTTAGAAGATTTTTAGGTAGTTTTGATAACTTAGTAGCTTTAACACTCTAGACTGAAAGATGGGACTTAAGGCCTTCTGATCTGCTATATTAAGGAAGAGAAATCTGTCTGTGTTGAATTGTTCTGGAATTTAGCATTCCACTGAATTTAAGTTAAGAATGTCAGTATCAGGACATGCCATGTATAACAGGATACTGGAAGGAGTTGACTGTTTTTATATTTAGAACCATTATACACTTTATCAAAAGCCTAGACTTGAACATAGTAATAGAATTCTTACAGATTATAATCATTAAATAAGTCTCTTCAAGTTGAAACTCAGCTGAAGTTACATTGCTAGGGAAATGAAGCCCTAAAAGGCATTAGGGAATAGAAAAAAAATTCTGTAAGTTGTATTTCTGTTGGAATTTTTTTAAATTTCAAAATATTAAGGGGGTACAAATGTTTTTGTTACACAGATAGTTTTTGTAATGCTTGAGTCAGAGCTATAAGTATGCCCATCACCCAAATAGTGTTCATTGTACCCATTAGGTAGGGTTTTGCCCCTCCCTTCCTCTTCTCTCCCTCCACTTAATTTGCAATGACTTTTACTTCCCTCTGTGCACATATGTGCCTGTCAGTTAGTTCCAACCTATTAGAGAGTACATGTGGTGTTTGTTTTTCCATTCTTGAGGTACTTCACTTAGGGTAATGGTCTCTAGTTCTATCCAAATTGCTGCAAAAGATATTAATTTATCCATTTTTATGACTGAGTGAGTATTCCATGGTATACGTGTACCACATTTTGTTAATCCAGTCATGAATTGATGGGCACTTAGGTCAATTTATTAACATGGGTTTGTTGGAAAGATGCTGTGTGTTATCGCAGCCTATAATCTCGGTAGTAAATTGTAATAGAAAATTAGGTCTACAGTTTTGGGAATGTGCTTTCTTCCCACTTATCTTCCTTAGTCACCAGCTAATGGATAGAGTAACATTTATTCATTTACTTAAATAGTGCATATTCATTCTTTGTCAGTTGATCATGGGTGTTGTTTGTGGTGATGGTTTCATTTTATTTAATCATTGCTGGTTGCCTTTTTTGCAGATGTGTAGCACTTTGCAGTTTAGGTATTTGGATTTGTGAAGAACTAGTCCATGAGTCTCATCATCCTCAAATAAAGGAAGCTCTGAATGTAATTTGTGTTTCCTTAAAGGTAAAAAAAACTGTTCAGTGAAATATATTAAGATAGTATAGAATGCATGGTTTTTTTTTCTTCAAATATGAATTATATCTTGTATCCTTATAGAATAAGACAGTTAATAAATGTTTTCAGTAGTTTACTATTTTTAATATTTCCTTGATTCTGACTCTTTCCTTAAGAATGCTCCTACTCTTGAATTTAGGATATCTTTGTGATGACCTATTTTATCTCAACTTTTTGTGTGTTTCGGCTTCGACCCTGTAATACATATGGATGACTCCTAGAAAAGGAAACCAGTCATTTAAAACATATATATTTTGTTTGTTTTTTTAACTAGTATTTTTATAACTTATTACTCTTTGATCTTTATCATTTTTAATAACAATGATTTTTTTGTTGTTGTTATTATTGCAGTTTACTAATAAAACAGTAGCTCATGTAGCTTGTAACATGCTTCACATGCTGGTTCATTATGTACCTAGACTTCAGATTTACCAGCCTGATTCTCCCTTAAAAATTATTCAAGTAAGTAATTTCTCGTTTATAACAAAGTTATAACATTGTTAAAGATTCTTAGATTCTGATACCTTGAAATATAAAAATTACTTAATAGATTCAAAAACTTTTTTGCATAGCTAAATAATGGCTACCCCATTATGCTTTTTTTGTAATATCGAAGTTCATGACAGTTCCTTTATATTTTATGTTAGAAAATTGTGTTCCTGGTTTTGAGCAAAGTAAAAGCATTAAAAATATATATACATATATATATTTTAAGACAGGATCTCACTCTGTTTCCCATGCTAGAGTACAGTGATGTCATCATAGTTCACTACAACCTCAAACTCCTGGGCTGAAGCGATCCTCCCACCCCAGCCTCCCAAGTAGCTAGGACTACAGGCACATGCCACCATGCCCAGCCAATCTTTTTTATTTTTTTGTAGAAACAGGGTCTCACTAAATTGCTCACACTGGTCTTGAACTCCTGGCCCCAAGCAGTTCTCCTGCCTTAGCCCCCCAAAGTTCTTGGATTACAAGCATGAGCCACTGTGCCCAGCTAAAAGATAATTTATTAGTTGTAGTGGTCTTTATAAATTTATATTATGCTTTATTCCCTCTCTTAAGTAAGGAAAACATACCATCCTGCCAGTTATCCTGGACATTATTCCTTTCCTTTTCTCTTTAGCCAATCATTTATTAATTTTTTTAAAAATTCTAATCCCATGTCTCCTGTGCTTCCTACAACACCTGACATATTTCAGCCCTTCGTTATTTCTTTCTTGAGATATTATTATAGCCTTCTAATTGTTCTCCTGGTTTGTACAGTCTTCCCCTTCAAGTCATCATTCACATTCACATGACTCTATGTTACTTGAAAAAAAATCATCTCTGATTTTCCTTTGACTGTAAAATAAAGCCCAAATTCTTTAGCTGAGAAATCAAGGCCTCCAGATTAGAACCCAACCTGTTTTTCCAGAATCATGTACAGATTCCTTTGAAATACCATGTTGTCCAGACAGCTGAGTCTGCTCTCCTCACCTTGTCTTCTTCCTACCTGAAATGCTTTACTTCTCTGCTCCCTATCCCCCTCATCTTTCAGTGATTGACTTAAATACTGCCTCCTCAGAAATGAAACTCTTGGCCAGGTACGGTGGCTTATGGCTGTAATCCCAGCACTTTAGGAGCCCAGGGCAGGAGGATCACTTGAGCCCAGGAGTTCAAGATTATCCTTGGCAATACAGTGAGACTTCATCTCTACAAAAAATGAAAAAATTAGCTGGGTGTGGTGGCACATACCAATAGTCCCAGGTACTTGGGAGGCTGAGGCTCGCGGATCTCTTGCCTTAATGAATTCAAGGTTGTGTTGAGCCGATCCCACCAATACGCTCTAGCCTGAGTGACAGAGCGAACACCTTGTCTCTTAAAAAACAAAAAAAACCCTGTCTGTTCTCCACAGCCAGAATTTATCTTTGTTGTCATTATATTCTTATAACATTTTTAGGAAAATTAAGAACTAATATTTATTAAGCACTTACCATGTATCAGCTACTTTTTCATAGAATATCTCATTTAATTCTTGGAAGTTTTTTTGAGATAGGAGATCATTCTCTTCCCCACGACCCCTTATTAAAGATGGAAGAACTGAGGATTTAATAACTACATAAAGTCACAAGCTAACAGGGCAGAAGCAGGATTCCAGTCTAAGTTTGTAAGATTCCAAAGTCCAGGTTTTTCCTGCTCAACCATGTTGCTGGCCTCTATTATAGCGAGTATGTCTAGCACTAGCAAGTAAAACCCTTTTATATATGAAGTATATTTAGAGGAATTTTTCTACTTAATGCATGAAAGCAATAATTTTTTAAAATATGGTGGCATACAATAAAAGTACAATAAAAATATAATAAACTTACACTTATATATTTTTAACAGTACATAAAAAAATTGAATGAGACAAATTAATATCCAGGGTAAATGATAACACTGTATATTTTGCCTTCTTTTAATGTCTTTTTGTTGGTATTCTGTTTCATATTCATATAATATTCAGTATATAATATACGTTAATTGAAAAAGCCATTTTTTTTAAACAAAAAGGCTTATATTTGCATATATACAGAAAAAGTCATGGAAAGACAGTAGATTTCTTCAGGTGATAAAATTACATAAATCTTTTTGCTTCTCTGTTTATCTTCTAATTTTTCTGTAGTGAACATATACTATCTGTGTGTTTATACATATTGATTTTTCCTCATGAATTGAATTAGAAAGGAATCTATTTAGAGTTGACAGAATACATATAATTTTGGTTAAGTGTGCTTGAAAAGCTTACCTAAAAATATTACTTTGAAATAACAATATTAATGTATTTAGAATAAATTTACAGCAATAGGTTTTATATCACTTTAGCACTTAACTATTAAGTTTTAGGATTATCATTAATTTGACATATTTTGAGCTCTTTTATTGTTTAATTTTTTTTTACTACAGATCCTAATAGCCACTATCACCCATCTGTTGCCAAGTACAGAAGCATCGTCTTATGAAATGGACAAGAGGGTAATTTAAATTTTGTTTAGAGTTTAGTATGTGGTTATCTAGTAAAATATTTATATTTCTAATATTCAAAGGTATGTATATTTACATAGTAAAAATTAATTCATCTAATTCAAAATCAACTATAGTGTGAAACATGTCTTTCTGTAATTTAAGTATAGGTAAATTATATTTTGTTTCAAATTTCATGTTCATTTGGTAAAATCTTTGAATCTTAGGATTGTAAGGAGCCTTGGAGGACATTCTGTCCACTTTTAATTATTTCACTATATTCTGCCAAATTATAGTCTTATCTGTGACTGAAATTTATTGATTCCGAGGAATTCATCACCTCTGAAGCAGCCACTTCTTTTGTATAGCTGTGACTGGTAGAAAGTAAAGATATTTTCAGTAATCATAGTACATATAATACATAGAGATGTATCACTTAAGAGAAGACATTCCCTCTCTCCACAAAAAAGTTCTACAAAGTGACATTTACTTCATAGATTCATTATGAGGGTCCTTTACTTATTCTAGATATTTTATTTATCAAGTTCTAGAAATTTATTTCTTTTTTTGTTTTTTTTACAGTTTCTATATCTTACCTGAAATTCTGCATTTCTTCATCAATTATATATACCTTCTCATCGATTCTTTAACATATTGATCATAATAATATTAAAGTCCTGATCTGCTAGATCCAATATCTGAGTCATAACTAAGTCTGTTCCTATAGAATTTTTTTCCTCTTTACTATGAGTTCCATTATCCTGTTTGTTATTGTATCTGTTAATTTTTTTTATTATATACCAGACATTATACATAACATGTTCTAGAAACTCTAGATCTGTGCTGCCCAGTATGGTAGCTACCAATCACATATTGCTTTCACTTTAAATTAAATTTGAAGTTTACATTAAAAATTTAATTCCCCATTTGCACATTTTTAGTACGTGATAGCCATGGGACAAATATAGACCATTTTCATCATTGTACAAAGTTCTGTTAGTTAAGGCTGCTCTGGATTCCATTAATTTCCTCTGAAAATTATTCTCTTCCTTTTCCTTGTCACATCTCGATCTTGAATTCTATTCTCCAGGTCTCAGTATTACGAACCTTTAATCATATTTCATTGAAATCTAAAGTATGTGTTATTTACTGTTTATGTTCTGCTCATTAATGTACAGATTTCCAAAGCTATAATTATGTTTCTGGACCTATTCACAGTTATTTTTATGTGTGGCTTACGTATCTTTTTACACTTTTAGTCTTTTAATGTTATTCCTACTGTCTGCCATATGATTTCTGACTGACTTCATGAGTTTGCCTAAGAATTTTTTATTCTTTCCCTTTGTGTTCAGTTCAAATGCTATTTGAACAGGTTATATATAGCTCTTGATAAATACATTCTTCTTCATCTTTAAAAGAAACATATCCACCATTTTTAACCAAGAGTTCTTCATTTTAGTGTCTCAGGCTATGATCTAGAATTCCACGTGCAGTTTGTGAATAGTATCTGGATAACTAATCGCCCATCTTCTTCTATATCATCTTTGTCTTCCAAAGGCCTAGCTATTAATATGAAAAATCTATACAACTAAGTTCTTATTTCATGTGCACTTAATTTACTAAATATTTATTGATCCCAAAATGTGTGTTTTGCTGGACACTACTAGTTAAACAGAGATAAATAAGATAGTTCCTGTTCTCATGGAATTTAAAGATTAGAGAGACAAATGAGACAAAGTGTAATAAATACTTACTATAAAAAGTAGAAAAATGTGTATTATACAGAGTAGGACAGAGGAGGAAGTAATTAATTATCGAGGGGAGGAGAGGGCTTGTTAAGAGAAAACTTCCTTAAAGATGAATAGGGTTTTCTACATAATTAGAGACAAAAGGTAGGTTCAGATAGTTATTTCAAGTAGAGGGAATAGTGTATGCAAATCATGGAGGTGTAAAATAGTATGAGGTATTTGAGGAAAACACTTGACAGTTCTGTATTATAGAATGTGAAGCGCACAGTTGAGAGTAGGAAAAATGAAGCTTCAGAGATAGGAAGGGACCAGGTTATGAAAGGCCGTGGATGCCACACTATGAGTCTTAGACTTCTGTGAAAGTCCTTTTTTGAAAGGATTTTAGTGCATAATGAAATATGACCATATTTGTGGAAAATCACTTAAGAAAATGTGAAAATTGACTCAAAAGGAAAAATATGGTGATTGTTATTAAAATTATCTAAGAATTGATGAGGCTGGGTGCAGTGGCTCATACTTATAATCCCAGCACTTTGGGAGGCTGAGGCAGGAGGATTGTTTGAGCCCAGGAGTTTGAGATCAGCCTGGGCAACAATGAGACCCATTTCTTAAAAAAAAAAAAAAAAAAAAAAAAAACTTTGCAATGCTAATAAGACATAATAAAAATAAATTAACTAGCCAGGTGTGGTGATGCACATCTGTAGTCCCAGCTACTTGAAGGCTGATGCAGGAGGGTCCCTTGAACCCAGGAATTCGAGGTTATAGAGCACTGTGATCAGGCCACTGCACTCCATCCTAGGTGACAGAGCAAGACCCTGCCTCTAAAAAAAAAAAAAAGAATTGATGTTCTGAACTAAGGCTAAGGGAATAAAGAATAAATAATCACAAAGTGGAATCCACAACCAAGATAAGGAATACATGAAAAAACAGGATTATTGAAGAAAGATGAGTTTCAGTTTTCAGTGTGTTGCATGTGAGGGGTAAAAACCAGATGGAGACCACCAGCAAAGTGATTACATACCTGATTAGAAAATTATAGGCTGGAAATAAAATTATTGGCATTGTCAGCACATGAGTAGTATTAAAATTGTGGGAATGGATGAGCTCACTTAAGGAGAGAATAGAGTAGAATACCACTCAATAGGGAATCATCATTTAGCATGATATGCTCTATTTTCCTTGGGCCAGAAGCAGATATCTCTACATTCCTCAAATATGCTTTGTTATTATCCTAGGTACCTTTAGAATGTATGACTTTTCCTTTTTGTGGGATGAACATCAGAATATTATTTAAATTCACTGATTTTTCTCTACTGTGTTGCATTCTAATACTTTTTATTCTCGTAAATCAGGTTTTGAGTATCTTTTGTCTTATTAGAAGCTTGCGCATTACATATAGACAACTAGATATATGGAATTATTGTAATTATTATGTTATTCTTTATGTAAGAACTCTTAATTTCCTCATGCAAGCCACAGTATAAGGAGACATTTCTCATGTATGGCATTCAGATTGCTTATAGTACAAACATAGCTGGTCCTTACAACTTTCTTTAACCTCAGGTGATTAAGAATATGAGTAAACTTTGTATGAACTAGGAGTCTTTAGATTTCTCAAATGGTTTGTCGTCATTGGTAAATATGGCCTTACAATTTTTAAAAGATAAATACAGTAAAAATAAAATAAAAACATTTATATAGTGATTTTTTAAAAATCATGTGCCAGCAATATGTACTTTATATACATTATTTAAACTTCAAAACAACTTTATTATTTTGGTAGATATTTTTAATTTCCATTTTACAGAGAAAATTGAGGCTCAGAGAGGTTAAATTGCCCAAGTTCACAATATTGTTACTAAATAGTAGAGCCAAGACTAGAACCTGTGATTGGCAGATAGATGCAAAAGTCCATATTCTTTTTATTTAGAAACATTAATTCAGAACTTCCATTGAATTTTATGTTGGAATTTTTTTAAACATAATTTCAAGTTTATAGAAGAGTTGCAAGAATAGTACAAATAATTCTTTGTGTTATTTATTTACCACATTTGTTTTATCCCTATGTATGTATGAAATATATATATAGAGAGAAATGTATATGCCACTAACTACATTATTGTGTTTTTCCCTCAAATTAAGCAGTTATCTAACAATGTAGTTATCAACATTAGGAAATTAACATTGATACATTAGTATTATCTAATCTATAGATATTATTCAGATTTCACCAGTTGTCTCAGTAATGACCTCTATGGCAAAAGACAATCCTAAATCGTGTATGGCATTCAGCCATAATGTCTCTTTAGCCTTCTGTAATCTAGAACAGGTCCTTAATCTTTCTATATTTCTTGACCTTGGACATTTTTTAAGTGTACAGTCTTGTTACTGTATAGAATGTCCCGCGTTTTGGGTATGTGTTTCATCATGACTAGATTAGTAATGTTTTGTCATTATTAGATTAAATCAGACATATTTGAAAGTAATACCTCAGAAGATTTTGTGCCCCTCTTAGTATATCATATCAAGTGGCACAGATGTAAGTTTGTCCCATTCCTGATTGGTGCTAACTTTAATCATCTGGTTAAAGGTGGTGTCTGCAAGGTTTTTCCACTGTAAAGCTACTAACCCATTTCAATTAACAGGTATTTGTAGGAAGATACTCTGAGGCTATACTGTATAAATCTACTACCACTTAAGCTTTTGCTGACTGGTTTTGCTAACCATCGATGACTCTAATAGAATCAGTTATTGTTATGATAGTTGCCAAATGGTGATTTTCCTAATTCCATCATTTCTTCTACATTAGTTAGCTTTCTACTATAAGGAAGAGCTTTCCCTGGTCATCTTATTTCAGTGTGGACTTGAGATTCTCATTTTATGCAACGAGGGTTTGTAATCCTTAACCTTTTGCTATCATTATTTATCTTGTTGCTCAAAATGTCTCAAATTTAGCCAATGGGAGCCCCTTCAAAGTGGCTGCTTTTCTTTTTGACAAATCCCAGTTATTCTTTGGGCATGCTTTTAATTTCTGTCACCACAAGATTTTCCAAACTCAACTTGTACTTTCCCTGCCCCAGCCCTGCAATTGGCCATTACACCAAAGAATTCTGGTTCCAATGAGTTGAAAATGGTATTTAGAAATCAGGATCTGAGAACTAGGTGTGCACTTTACTGTTGGGGTATCATATCTTTAAGTCCCTCTGAGGAGACAGAGCTATTAATAGGAAGTAGATAACATGTGTACACAGACACACACACACACACACACACACACACACACACACACACACCTCTCTGTATTTCTATATATATCTGCTTTGGACTAAATGTTTGTGCCCTTCCCAAAGTTCATATGTTGAAGTCCTAATCCCCAATGTGATGATATTTGAAGGTGGAGCCTTTGAGAGGTAATCAGATCACGAAGATAGAGTCTTAATGAATGGAATTAGTCCCTTTATAAGAAGAAAGATGAACTCTCTCCACCATTTGAGGCTACAGCTAGAAGGCAGGAATCTGTAAGTCAGGAAGTGGCCCTTCACCAGACACCAAATTGGCTGGCACCTTGATCTTGGATTTCCTGTTCTTCAGGACTTTTAGAAATAAATTTCTGCTGTTTAAGCCACACAGTTTGTGGTATTTGTTATGGCAGTCCAAGCAGACTAAGACAGTATCTAACTATATTTATTAAAAACTTTTGAGTTTACTTTGACACCTCCAATTCTAATCTAACACCATAGGGACGTGCAGTCTATCCTTCCCCTTTTTACTTATTTGTAACTCCCTGTTCCAATAATGGGAAACTTAGCTCCCATATCCATTATTTATCTATAATGTATTTATTTCTTTGTACATTTCTTAAAAAAAAATAATAAAACAGTTTCAGAATTAACTTATGCCTCTGTATAGCTTAGAGTTTGTTTTGCCTTTACCAAGAAAATATAAAGTTAAAAAAATGTTTTTATAAGTTACTTGAATTACCTCCCCCTTTCCTACTTCAAAATGCTTATATAATTTATTTGAAATATAGTTCAGTTCACTTTTTTCTGTTCGTATGCAGTTTTAGGGTCTTCCCTCCATCTCTGTTGTTCTTATTTATTTTTTTAGGCTATGGTTCATCTGTCCTAGGTTTATTTTTGCACAAATAAGCATATGCATGTATATTTTCTTTTTTCTCCTTGTTTGTTACACAAACATATTCTATATAGTCTAGATTCTTTGGTACTTTAGACTTTTCACCTGACCTGGAATTCTACAATCCGTAAGTTCATAGGAATCTTCTTCATTCATTTTTTATAGCTCGGTAGTATTAGTACTCCATACTTCATTCAACCACTCTGCTATATATGGCATAAAGGTTACTTTCAGAATTTTGCAATTACAGATAGTGCTGCAGTGACTTACTTTGTGCATATGTATTTTTATATTGTTGGAGCGTGCCTTCAGGGTATATTCCTAGAAGTGGAATTGATGGGTCAAAGGGCAAACAGATACATAATTTTGTAAATTATTGTACTTTCTGCTATGAGAGTGTTTCCCCAGAGCCCTCTCACAGAACTTGTCATATATTTTATTTTTTGCCAATTTGATAGGCAAACAGTGGTATCTCTGTGTAGTATTCATTTATCTCCCTTATAAATGAGGTTGAACATCTCAAATTTAGTAATGGCCTAATTTTTTACTTTTGAAAAATTTTTTTGAATTATTTTTTCATATCTTTCTACATTTTCTATCAGATTTCTCTGTCTTTTTCTCTCAATAGCTATATATTAGGGATATTAGCTCTTTAGCTAGGAGATACAATGCAGACATTTTCTCCCTTTTTTTTAATTTGCCTTTCGACTTTGTTTATGGTGGTTTTTTGTTTCCTTTTGGGGAGAGTAATAGAAAAGTATTTTTATGTAGTTATTTATCAATCTTTTTTTCGTTGTGTCTGGATTTTGAATCATAGTTAGAAAGCTTTTCACTGTACCCTGGGATAAAGAAAAATACACAAATGTTTTTTTTCTAGCACTTACATGGTTTCATTTTTTACATTTTTATCCCTGATCCATTTGGAGTTTATTCTGTATGTTTTGAGATATAGATCTAATTTTTGTTGTTTTTCCAACTCTGTAACCAGGTTTCTGAGCAGCCTTTATTAGGTTCATCTTTGCAATTTAGCAAACAGTCAAGTTCCATATTTATTTGTGTCTGTTTCTTGAGTTTCTATACCAGCAGTTTCAAACTTTTTGGTGACAAGATTCCTTTAATATTGTTAAACTTTATTGAAGACCTCAAATAACTCGTTCAAGTTGGTTATTTTTTGTCTACTTGATCTGTCTTGCACTGAGAATGGTGTGTTAAAGTTTCCTACTACTAGTTTCTTTATTTTCTTGCATCTCTTGTAATTTTTGCTTTATATAGATAGTTACTGTGTTATTTGATATATAGATATTCATAAATGTTTCATCTTCATTTTGAATTACAGCTTTATATGTACGCCTTTTTAAATGTCTTTATATTCCCTTACTTTCTTACTTAACCTTTTACTTTCTGATTATTTAATGGTATCCTGTATATCCTGTCTTGCCTCTACATTAACAGATGAGCTAGTTTTACTTTTCCATTCTTCCTCTGTTTGCCTCCATATTTAGTTGTTTTATTTCTACACATAACCATTCATATCTTACATATCTTACAACAAATTAGTCTTCTACAGTCATGCCCATCTCTTTTTTTTTTTTAGATCTTATATCTGTAACTAAGAACTATAACTTGATCTTTCTGCTGAAGCTTCACCAGTCAACTTCTTGGTTAGGTTAGACAAACTTCTTAGTTTGTCTTTATTCTTCAAGACACACTCATGAGTACAGAATTCTCTGAGCTCTTGCATATTGTATTGTTTTCTTGTATATTATATTGTTTTTCTATAACTTTGATACTTGAAAAACAGCTTAGCTAGACATGGAATCCTTAGTTCACACTTGCTTTCCTTGAGGTTTTGTGTGTGTGTGTGTGTATGTGTGTGTTTTGTTAATGCTACCTTGTTTTGTGTGTTTCTGAGAAGTCTGATGCCAGTCTTCTTCTCTTGTCCATGGAAGTTATTGCATCTTTTTGCCTGTAGGCTCTGAAGATTTTTTTTTTAAGTCTTACTTTTGAAGTTTTACCAAGATGTGTGTTAGAGTTGACCATGGCAGGTCAGTTTGTCCTGGGATCTGTTAAGCCTTTTCAACATGTAAGTTCAGATCTTCTTTTATTTCTTTAAGTTTTTTCTGTTAAATTGTTTTATCTTTGGGACTCCTGGTTGTTTTTTTGTGTATGAGAGAAACAGGGTGTCACTCTGTTGCTCAGGCTGGTCTCAAACTCCTGGCCTCAAATAATCCTCCCACCTTGGCCTCCCAAAGTACTAGGATTACAGGCATGAGCCACTGCACTTGGCCTCTGTTTTGTTTTTATAGAAGTTTTGTATAGATGAAGACCGTGCCTAGGCATTTCTGTGGCTTGGGGTGGTTTACAATATTCCTATTTCAAGAGCTCCCTCCTCTGGCCATTTAATGGAGTATTGTGGTTTTACCGAATATGTATTTGAAGGAGCAGAGGAGTTGTAGGTCTAGCAATTAAAAAAAAAAATTAAGTCTTGCAGGATCCAAAATTTCCCTTTTGCTTTTTCCTTTTACTACGTGTTTCCAAAGAATGCCTCTCCATTCCCTTTTAACATTCTTCTCCCCCTAAGCATGACATTTCCTATGTATAGTTTTAAGTCCCTTTCTTTCTACTCAGTAGTCTGGTCTTTTAGAACACTTATTCAGTATACTCACACTTAGGGTGGATTTTTTCTTTCTATTTTGGTTTTAGGTCAATCTTAGGTTTGCAGCTAGTTCCCATCTTTTCTCTTTGTCATAGTTTTTCCCAAATTGCCCTTGCTCCTCATGAAAGCCTGCAGTGGAAGAATGGGAAAAAGCTTGCTGGGATTTGCTGTATGTTTTTCTGCTTAAAGATAATTTGGTCTGTCTTGTGGTTATATGGAGAGAGTGAATTTTGTGAGATTGTATTTTCTGGTTTTTTTGGAGGATGTGTTGGGAAATTTAGACCAAAATTGCTCCTTGAGTTGGAGAGTTTGTTTTTAATTCTGAAGATCAGATCTCTTGTTGCTACTCAATTTTATCACTTTCATGGCACTGATGGTGATTCTTTATTAAATAAAATGGATACTGCTATTTTACTCCATATTTTAGATAAAAGTGTTCAGTTTGTAGCATCCATTCGTTCAAAAGTGTCCAGTAAAAAGATTTACCTAATAAAATAAGTGACAGTTTCAAAAAGTGCTTAAGGTAGGTAGTTTTTCTAGCAGGATATCCAGTCAAGTGTTGTTAAATTAGAAAATGAAAGTACAAGTAATTGTAATACGTATGTACTAAAACCTTTCTTTTGTGTTCTTTTCCTTGTGCAACTAAATAAGTATAATTAATTGATATCTGTTGTCTTCAGCTTGGTGTTTTCATATTAATATAAAATAATTTTAACATTCCTGTGTTATTATGCTGAAGTTTTCATTATGCTTGCCCTGAAAACAATAGTGTTCTTATCCAACATCTTAAAATCAGTTAGGTCTAGGTAAATATTAATAGTGGAACTTTGGGTCGATGGTTCCTGAAATAAATTTTGGAAACTCAAGAACAAGAAGGTGCTCTATTATGTATTAAAAAGCTCTTATTTAATGAGTTTACAGTTGTAATGATTTTTTGTTGTTACAGTTGGTAGTATCTTTACTTCTCTGCCTTTTGGACTGGATCATGGCCTTACCTCTAAAGACACTGCTCCAACCAGTTCATGCTACAGGAGCAGAAAATGATAAAACAGAAAAATCTGTCCTCAATTGCATCTATAAGGTAATCTTCCTTGCTATACTATTCATTTGGTAAGCAAAGGTTTTTAAAACCTAAAGAAATAACATTTTTTAGTATAGTATTTTCATTGTTTTAGAGCTAGATATTTTCTAAGAATGTAGATTTAGCTTAGAGTACCTAAAGGTAGTTTAAAAGTACTTCCTACAAGACCCTATAGTTTCATTGCAAAATTTTGAGAGGAGTCAGATCTTTGTTGACTATGAGAATGATTAGTTAAATTTTGCTTATTCTTCCTTTTAAAAGGTCTTACATTTTACCTTGACTGAAGAGCTAAGTTTTAAGATATTTAAAATTTTTGCCAAGCTCTTGTATTATCAGTTGACATTTTTTTCTCCTTTTATCTTTATTTACTTATTTTTATTTAAAAGTTAAACTTGGTATTTTCTTTTTCCTATATTTTCAGGTTTTACATGGGTGTGTTTATGGAGCTCAGTGTTTTAGCAACCCAAGGTATTTTCCAATGAGCCTCTCTGATTTGGCCTCTGTAGATTATGATCCTTTTATGCATTTGGAAAGTTTGAAAGAGCCCGAACCTCTACACTCTCCTGATTCGGAACGATCTTCTAAACTCCAGCCAGTAACAGAAGGTAAAATGAATTCTCTTCGGGATAATATTGTTGCTTGGGGTTCTCTGAAGGTATGATTTGAGGGCATGAGTGGAAATAATGGAGAAGAGGAATATGTCTTGCTTTGTAGCTGTTTACCTAACCGTGTGTATTGTAGCACAAGTTCATTTTTAGTTTGAGAAATAACTTCATATACACAATTACTAATATTCTGTGTGATAAAATTCCCTTTGGACACATTGACTTTTCCTTATCCAAAATACTTCAGACCAGAAATGTTTCAGATTTTGGATTTTTTCAGATTTTGGAATATTTGCATCATACTTACCAGTTGAATATCCCTAATCCAAAAATCTGGAATCCGAAATGCTCCAATGAGCATTTCCTTTGAGCATCATGTCAGCACTCCAAAAGATTCAGATTTGGAGCATTTTGGATTTCAGACTTCTGGATTAGGGATGCTTGATCTGTACTTCTAGCTAAGTTATTCTTAGAAGTTACTTTGATATTTTATTTTATACATCATAGGATTTCTATAGAATAAAAAATTTAGTTTGGAGTCTGACAGACCTGATACTGAATTTTGAATCTTGGCCGGGCACAGTGTGCTCACCCCTATAATCCTAGCACTCTGGGAGGCCGGTGCGGGAGAATTGCTTGAGCTCAGGAGTTCAAGACCAGCCTGAGCAAGAGCGAGACCCCATCTCAAGTAAAAATAGAAAAAGTAAGCTGGGCATAGTGGCACATGCCTGTAGTCCCAGCTACTTAGGAGGCTGAGGCAGGGGAAGATTGCTTGAGCCCAGCAGTTTGAGATTGCTGTGAGCTGGCTGATGCCATGGCACTGTACTCAGGTAAGACTCTGTCTCAAAAAAAAAAAAAAAAAAGAATTTTGACTCTTAATTATTGAGTGACTGTTGTCTTATTTGTAAAATGCAGGTAATGATACCAGTTCCCTCATAGGATTGTTTTGAGTACTAAGTAAAATTACATATGTAAAGCCCTTTGCACAGTCCTTAATATATAGTAAACTCAGCAACATTTTTTAAGCCACGTTGTTTCTACATTCAGAGAGTTCACTCTCTGACATAAGAGAAAGATACAAGCAAGTAACATTATAACATAATATGAGTATAAAAATAGAAGTATATACAAGATAAGGAGGTATCCCAGAGGAACCCAGCAATTACTGAAGGGTCTTAAGAAGGAGAGATATATGATAAAATTAGTATTAAAAGCACTTTTGACAATAGCATTTTATAGAAGTTGACAAATTATGACCCATGCCTGCCAGCTGTTTTTATTAATAGTTCTATTGGAATGCATCCATATTGTATCATTATGGCTGCTTTTGTGTAACAATAGCAGTGTTGAGGAGCAGTAAAGATCATGTGGCCCACAAAACGAAAGATATTTATTATCTGGCCCTTTATAGAAAAAGTTTGCTAGGCCGGGCACGGTCGCTCACACCTATAATCCTAGCTCTCTGGGAGGCCGAGGCGGGCGGATTGTTTGAGCTCAGGAGTTCGAGACCAGCCTGAGCAAGAGCAAGACCCCGTCTCTACTAAAATTAGAAAGAAATTAATTGGATAACTAAAAATATATAGAAAAAATTAGCCGGGCATGGTGGCGCATGCCTGTAGTCCCAGCTACTCGGGAGGCTGAGGCAGGAGGATCGCTTGAGCCCAGGAGTTTGAGGTTGCTGTGAGCTAGGCTGACGCCACGGCACTCTAGCCCGGGCAACAGAGTGAGACTCTGTCTCAAAAAAAAAAAAAAGTTTGCTGATTCCTGGTATATTAGATTGATTTGAGCAATTAACCCAAAATCAGAGAGACCAATCCTGAGGCTGTTGCAATAGGCCAAGCAAGCATTGCTGAAGGCTTAAACTAAACTTTTTAGTTACTGAAGAATGATAGTAGGAATGAAAAGGAAAAATGGAGTTGAGAAATATTTAGGAAGTAAAGTCAAAAGGCTTTTGTAATGAGTAAAGGGAGGAATCTAAAGTAGGTTTCTGACTGGTTAGATTCTGATTTGGGATAGGTTAGATTTTCTCCAAACTAGAGTAAGAATATTAGAGAAAGTACAGATTTGAGACAGAAAATGAGTAGGGCAGTTGGAAATGGTTTAGTATGGGGGGCCTTTTGCATATTTGTGTGAAGACATCTAGTGAATAATTAGGTGCATATACAGATCTAGATCTTAGCAGAGAGATCTTTGTTAGGAATATATATTTACACATGTGGGTTCTGAGAAGAAAAATTTGGAAAGGAAGGAAGACCAAGAGAGAGTGATTTCTCCGAAACCAAGAGAAGAGAAAGCTTTTAAAAAGGCTGGCCAACAGTGTTAAATGATAGAGAGGTTAAATACAAAGGGACTGACAAATATGTCTGCTTTAGTTTCAGCAGAGAAGTAGCAGGCAGAAGCAGATGTCTGTGGGTTGAGAAACAAGCAGAAAATAAGGGAGTAGAGCCATTCCATGGGCAATACTCTTTAAAGAAGCTTGGCTGTGTAAAAGAAAAGAAAGAAAAAAATTCAATAAAACGGTAGGTAAGCTAAAGGAGGATTCAAAGTTAAAGGAGTTTTAAGGATGAAGAGAATTTAACTTATTTATAAGCTGAGAAGTAAGGGGAAGCATATCATTAATAGAATGAAGTCCCTGAGAGGATGAGCTGGGAAATAGAGGTGCTAGGATTAGCCCTTCTTCTGAAACAAGAAAGAAGAGGAAGATGCAAGTAATTAAGTAATTACAAGATTTGGCATAAGTTATTGAGGGCCCAAAAGAAAACAGAAACCACAAAGTTTTGTTTGCACCAATCAACAATTAGTAAGATGGGTGTGGCAGAAATACAAGGGAACTATAGATTTCAGGATGTTGGTTTAGTCATGGACCCTAGGCTTGGTAAGGATTAAACTGCTGCCAGAAAGTAACTAATAAATTGGGAGAAAATAGAGTGATCTGAGAGTCAGAAGGTAGATGTGGTTGGTAATAAGAAGTTAAAGCAGTGTTTCTCAGCCTTGGGTGGACATTAGAATACTGATACTCTGGTCCTGTCCATAGAGATTTTGATATATTAATTCAGGATTACTGGGATTTTTAAAAGCTCTGCATGTGACTAATATGCAGCCATGGCTGAGAAACACCGAAAGCATCAATGTATTAGGACAGTGGTTTTTAGAGCAATTTTTTAGGTGGCAGAACCTCTTCCAGTAAATTTTCAAGGAAGCCTAGTTGGTAAAACTTTGAAGTAGAGCTACAGCAGAATAGAGGCCTGGGATCCTACAGACTTCTTTCCTGTCTATTTCCAAGGGCCCTCTCCAAAGACTTTACAAATCACAATTGGGAAATCACTACACACTAGGAGGTTATGTTCAAGGAATAGACTGTTGAGGAAGAGTTTGATTTTTAAAGATAAAATAGTTATAAATAAATAAAACATCTAGGATGTGACCATGATAATGGATTGATGGCATACAATGAAAGTGAAGATATGACATTAGAGGTCAAGAAAGTGGGGCTGGGGTTTTAGGTTGACCATAAGGCACAAATAGTTTTTCTAGAACACAAATACATAAGTGAAATAGGAATATAAGATTTAAATTGTTGCTCAGATATAAAAGAGGTATACTAAGTATAATATGGCAAAAAAAATTAGATAATTCATATAGGCAACTTAAAATTATGTTTAGATTTGGCATAGTAAAATAGAGTGCTTATTTTACTTAACACAGTTGCATGAAATTGTTGCTCTTTGCATGTCTGAGGTATAAAATGATAAAGTTTTGATTCAAGATAATATAGTATTTCTTGAACAGAGCAATATGTAGAGTTTACTTATGTAAAAGAAAGTTTTAATTTTGTATTTCATGCAAAATTTACTGTACCAATATCAGTCACTGTAAAAGAAGCAAAAGAAAAGATGTAAATAGATAAGCTTAATATTGATACCAAATACTGTGTAATGCTATTCTCTAAATGTATTAAGTTGTTACCTTTGGACTTCCTCAAAGATATTAAGAACCAGATAAATGCAGCACCTTTTAGGAATAGCCATGAGCTAATAGCATGTGATTCTTTGGTGTGTAGTGACTACATGCTATAGAAGTTTTTTAATGACTTTAAAATGATTGATCATTGTGCCCTTGTCTAAGGCATGCTTCATCATCTTCAAGTACTTTTTTGGCCAAAGAATTCTAAACATAGAGTGCCCCTAATAAGCTCAGTATTGGACTGAACAAGTCTGATTTGAGAACTATTGGCAGGAATAGTTGTAATTATTAAATTTACTAAAGAATAAAGCAAGGTAGTGAAGTTGGCTTTTAGTCAAATGGCAGTAGTCTTATTAGCAAAAAGTCATCATTTGCAGGATCAGAGTAAAAGGAGGCTCCAAAGGATTCATTCTGTCCTAATTACAGTTTCATATATACATATTATGCAAAGCTAATATTTAAAGCATTTGCCAAAATTAACTTTCTCTGCATGTTCTATTACAGTACAGTGAATTGCAGCAGCTTTTTATGTCTTGCTGCTTTTGTATGCCATAATAATCTGTAATTATGGGTTTGCTGCAAATGCTGTAGGGTTTGTTTAATCTGACAGTCTGAAAAGACAACCCTGAATAGACTTATTTAAATGACTGCTAGTTACACAAAGCCTGAGAAGCATCGATATCTTCATTTTGCATTTTCTCACAAGGCTAGTTATTTTAGAATTTCATTTTGATTTTCTAAATTAAAGAATTTCATGTCTTTATATTTTTTATAGATAAGAAGAGAGATATGTATATATCTATAGTTTATAGCTCACAAATAAGTCTAAATAAATCTAATTGCCCAGTTAACAATTTGAAACATTTGTATCCTTTTATATATAGACATATACCCTGAATTTAAAGAAGCAAGTTAAGATGTTTTTACCTACATCTGAAATCTTAATTTATTCTTCACATGTTTTCAGTGGTAATTATGACAGATTTGTGATCAAACTCATTTAAACTGCATTTCCACTGTGTCTTCCTTTGGGAAGAGGATGTATGGGAGGGACTGGTACTAGGGCTTGGATTTTTATGTTTTAGGGAAAGAGCTGGCTCATTCTTTTTTTTTTTTGAGACAAGAATCTCACTGTGTTGCCCGGGAGTGAGTGCCGTGGCGTCAGCCTAGCTCACAGCAACCTCACGCTCCTAGGCTCAAGCAATCCTTCTGCCTCAGCCTCCCGAGCAGCTGGGACTACAGGCATGCGCCACCATGCCCAGCTAGTTTTTTCTATATATTTTTAGTTATCCAATTAATTTCTTTCTATTTTTAGTAGAGACGGGGTCTCGCTCTTGCTCAGGCTGGTTTCGAACTCCTAAGCTCAAACAATCCGCCCGCCTCGGCCTCCCAGAATGCTAGGATTACAGGCGTGAGCCACCGCGCCCGGCCTAAGCTGGCTCATTCTTGGAGTTTGTTTATAAGCAAGTTTGAAAAAGAAACTCATAAGACCTGTTACTTATAATGCTGTCAAAATCGAATGATTTATGTTGTCTGTTATATCCAGCTTTGTATATAAGAGTTTTTAATTCACCTTTACAAATAAGTATATTTATTCTTCCAGAAAAAATGGGATTTAAGGAGTTTCATATGATTTTTCAATGATCACAGAGCAAGCCAAAGTCAGGGATTCCTGTCTTTTTTGTGATCGTTTCTCTTTAATCATATTTTTCCCCTTCTTCAGAAGATATTTTATGTTCTGTAAAGAACATTGACCACTTAGACTAAGTCACCTATGTAAGTATATCATTAAAAAGAAAGGGAGAGTAAAGAGCAGAAAAATTTTTTCCTACATCAAAAATTTAAAAATCATTAATTGTAATTTTTTTATTACCATTTAAAATGTGATTTAAACTTATTTAGATGAGCATTTTCAACTGATCTTTGTCTTTTATTTAGTAATTTATGCTAAGTAATACTTTTTTGAAGTTCTTATACACAGAAAAAAAAATTTTGAAATCATTGTTTCCGTATGTCACAAAGAAAACGGCAGTTTAACAAAAAGAGCTGGGAAGCAAAAGACCAGCCCTGATGTGAACAGTCTTCCTGTATCAGGCAAATCACTTCACTTTGTGAACCCATTTATCCTCGTGTGCAAAATGAGGAATACTAACTAGATTATCCCCTTGTAATGTGAACATTCATTATGCTAAAAGTTATAATTAGAGAAGGGAAAGCAGACACTAGATTCTAGCTACCTCTCTGTTTCTCATTATCCAGTGACACATATCTTTTTACTTACATTCTTGAAATGGAGGATTAAGGTTAATGATTTAGTGTTATTTTCTAGTGTGGAATGGCTGGTTTTCAGAACTAGCCCATAAACATGATTTAAAAACATGTCAATATATTTGGAACTTTTTAAGTAAACAAAGAAATGTTTATATTTACATGTATGTGGTTATAACTTGATTGATAATGGAAGATTAAAATTTTTATACTCAGTAACATTTTAAAATCAACCAAAACCCAAAGAAAACTGTTCTTTTTAGAATTGGAGAAGATGTTTTTGGTATTAACAGCATAACAGCTGATTGGTTGCTTATTCTCCTCCTGTACCCAGTGGTATTGGTTCTGAATCTTGAGGGTAGTAGCCTTGAAAATACAACACTGTTCTTCTTCTTGCTTCTTTTTAAATAGTCATAATAGCAGTGCACAAACTAGTCTTTTTTTTATTTTAAAGTTAAGTTTATTGAGGTGTAGTTTGTATAAAATTACCCTTTTTGTATGAAGGAATTTTTCTATATTGATTATGTTGGTGGTTATGCAATTGTATACCATTACCAAAATTCATCAAACTAAACATTTGAAGTTGGAGAAGTTATTATATATAAATCAAGGCATTCTTAAATCTGTATTTATTCTTACAAATCCATATTTATTCTGGCATCTAGTCTCTAGTGTTCTTAACTGATTAACTTTCAGAGAATATAAACAATACTCAGAAAAGATTACTCTGTGACTGTGGTAGAATAATGCAGAAACATGATCACTGTGTAATTATATCCAAAATAACTAGACAAGAACACTGTAACTACACATTCTCTCTCCCTCTCCCCCCCCCACTGTCTCTCTCTCTCTCACACACACACAAACACACACACACCAACATCCTCTTCTAACATGAATGACTAATGCTGCTTTACCAATGACAATGCTCCCCCTACCTCTTAGAGTATCAAGATAACCCATCAACCACTGGTTCCCACTTCTCAATCCAGAGCCGGCTTTCACATCAACCCTCCTTAAAATCATACTGGTGGTCTTTAACTAGTTGACTTTGACAAGTTATCGGCCATCTCTTTTCTCCTTTCCCCCTTTTACTCTCTCTTTCGGTGTGCTCTGTCTTCCTTCTCCCTTTTCCTCCCCCTTAAGATTCTGATGTTAGGCATCTTGCCTTTCCAGGCCTCTTGAACTACTATATTCTGGTTTTCTCTGTTGACTGTTTCTTATGATTTTTTTTAAGTTACTCATATAAATATGCTTTTTACCCATTTGCTTTCCTTTATGTGCTTAAGAAAGGATAAAAAAATGCTTCCTGCCTACCACTAAGTGCTAGACTAGACCACACTGACCCTGAAGAATACTTTAGAAAAATGTAATACATAAGCTGCCCCATCAAATATTTTTGCCTTTAAAATAAAATTTCCCTGGCATATACAGATAATGGCCAAACTGACTTGCTGTTTAAACTGATTGATCCCTAAAGTTAAGTTGAAATATCACTTTTTTTCTGAAATACTTTTATATCGTTAGTAAAAGCCAGAATTAAACGACATTTAAAGCATGCCGCAAACTATGTCTCTGAATCTGGAGTCTATTTACAAGATAGGAAACTTATCATTAGATAGATTTCATTGGCGTTTTAATCTGTGTGTTCAGGGATTTCATGTGATTGATTTGTAATACTTTTGATCCTTCAAAGGTGATCTATGTTTAAAGGCTTTGGTTGAAATTATGGATCCATTAGCAAAAATTTCAAAAAGGGCTTCTAAAATAAAACTTAATCAAAGAATAGTTTTCTTCTCTTTTTTGCCATCATTCCTATAATAGAGAATCTAAATTGGAAATATTAATATTTACTCAAATGTTTGATTATAATTTTAACAATGTGATGAAATCCCTATTTGTTGTATAATGTTTCATTGTTATGTGACTTGCTATGAAGCAGCAGTATTCCCACTCATTTGTATTTTTTATTTTCAGTGAAAACTCAAATGCAACAAGGATTAATCTCTATAGCAGCCCGCACTGTTATTACACATCTGGTGAATCACTTGGGCCATTATCCAATGAGCGGTGGTCCTGCTATGTTAACAAGTCAGGTGTGTGAAAATCATGACAATCATTACAGTGAAAGCACTGAACTTTCTCCTGAACTCTTTGAGAGTCCAAATATCCAGTTCTTTGTGTTAAACAATACAACCTTAGTGTCCTGTATCCAGATCAGGTCAGAAGAGAATATGCCTGGAGGAGGTTTATCTGCTGGCCTTGCATCAGCCAATTCAAATGTCAGAATCATAGTACGTGATCTCTCTGGAAAATATTCATGGGATTCTGCCATACTGTATGGACCACCTCCTGTAAGTGGCTTATCAGAACCTATACCTTTCATACTTTCATTGTCTCACCAAGAAAAGCCAGAAGAGCTTCCTACATCTAATGAATGCTTACAAGATATAACAGCCAAAGATGGACTTTCCCTCCAGTTTAAAAGATTTAGAGAAACTGTACCAACCTGGGATACAATAAGAGATGAAGAAGATGTTCTTGACGAGCTCTTGCAGTATTTGGGTGTTACTAGTCCTGAATGCTTACAGAGAACTGGAATTTCACTTAATATTCCTGCTCCACAACCTGTGTGCATTTCTGAAAAACAGGAAAATGATGTTATTAATGCTATCCTTAAGCAACATACAGAGGAAAAAGAATTTGTCGAGAAGCACTTTAACGACTTAAATATGAAAGCTGTGGAACAAGATGAACCAACACCTCAAAAACCTCAGTCAGCGTTTTATTATTGCAGATTGCTTCTTAGTATATTGGGAATGAATTCCTGGGACAAACGGTAAGCATAAAGGGGAAACGTTTTCTTTTTTTTTTTTTTTTAATGTTAGTCTTACTCATCTTCTGATCAAGCATCAAGCATTTTAGTCTCTGTTCTTCTCCTCACTAAATTTCTTTTTTCTTTTTCTTTTTTGAGACAGGATCTCACTGTGTTGCCCAGGCTAGAGTCAGTGGCATAATTATAGTTCATTGCATCCTCCAACTCCTGGGCTCCAGTGATCCTCCTGCCTCAGCCTCCCAAGTAGCTGTGACTACAGGCATGCACCACCACACCTGGCTAATCTTTCTTATTTTTTGTAGAGATGGGGTCTCACTATGTTGCTCAGGCTGGTCTCAAACTCCTGGCCTCAAGCAATGCTCCTGCCTTGGCCTCCCAAAGTGCCAGGATTGTAGTCATGGCCCACCATGCCTGGCCTCCTCACTAAATTTTATCTACAGTTAGTTCTTTGACTAGCAGACAGATTTCTTTCCTTTTTTTTTTTCCACTGGGTTATGCAGGGATTCAGAGGAATAAAAAAAAAATCCAGTAAATTATTAACATTTCCATAATGACTACTAGAACTGTCTGACTTAGAAATTATAGCTTATGTGATTGAAAAAAATTTTATTTTTTCCGCCTTCATGTAAGCTTAACAGCTTTAGGCCAGCCACAATATGATCATGTCTGGTTTGAGGCAGGGAAATTAACTCAAGATTCAGGATTAAGTCAAAAAAAGAATCTGGATTTTTTTTTACTATTTTGTTTTCTTATGCATATTATAAAACTTTATTAAAAACTTTATACAGTAAACATACAAAGTATTCAAGGAAGTTAGGTAGGAGTTAAATGAAAAGAGCAAGGGACTTAAATCAGAAGACCTAGATTAGAGTCACTTAACCTTTGAACTTCAGGCTGTAGTCTACACATTGAAAGTAATTCTCAATAATTCTCAGTAATTCTCACATAATGACAAGAATTAAATTAGATAATGTACATAAAACACTAAAATTACACACTAATGTAAAGCATTAATATATATTTAGTTTTTAATTTCTGTGACATGAAAAGCTGTAGGAAAGTGAAAGAGTGTTATTTAATGTATTGTTTCTGTTGAATTTATAATAGGGGAAGCTGGAAGATATCACTGGATAAATAAATCTTAAAGTAATTCAGATGCATGTGAAGCACTGAAATGAACTTCTACTTGCTTGCTTATTATTTATAATCTTATTGATTTAAACCCTTCCATTTATTATAAGGGAGTATCCTCTGCCTCATGGGACTGCCCTGTGGTATCAGGAACACAATTTGCTATATTATATGTCCAAATATAGGTAATTGCCACTCAGTTATAGTATAAACACATTCTTTCTTTTGTTGTAGAATGCTCTGTATGTTGTCTCTTGGGAAAAATGAAGTTGGGAATCTATATTTTTATCATAGCAAGCATTTATTTCATGAAAATAATTGGTACATATTTAGCACCCACAGAACAGATTTGGTAAAATTTATACATTGCTCTGTAGTATAAAAAATACACATAATGTGAAACAAGAAAGATAGCAAATTCAATCTGGACAGTTACACTTGCTTACTTGGTAATGATTTAGATTTTGTGAATATTTTATTCCTCATGAGGTACAGCTTTCTCACATGTTTTTATGAAACTCTTGAGAAGGAACTTGCAAGTACTTTTATCCATTTTTCTGGTTAGGAGTTTGGGAAGCCCACAGCATCTGCAAGGAAAGATTGACGTGCCCAATAGATTTGATCCCTAGCAGAAATATATAAGGGCCTGGTAGAAATAATGACACATATTCTTTACATCTTTTTTAGGGTCTGTTCTCCTTTGTGTTAGAAGTATGAAAAGGCGAGAAAAGTTTAAAAGTTGCATGAGTAGAGTGGAAAGTATGTCCGGAACTGTCATGTCATTCACTGCAAAGGTGATGAAAATGTTTATAAATCTCTCTATTTAGGAGGAGCTTTCATCTCCTGAAGAAAAATGAAAAGCTTCTTAGAGAACTTAGGAACTTGGATTCAAGGCAGTGGTAAGTTGTTGGAAGACTTTCATATAACTAGCAGCTTGCCACTATTTCTCTGTTTAGAGAATTTGTTTTGAATAATGTTCTAAGTAGTGAATAACACTGTACTATTTAGTTATAACTTTCTGAGCAGAAACTGTTTTATTTACCAAAATGAAATAGCAATAATAAAATTTTTTAGAAAAATTTAGGATTGCATTAAAATGTTTGGTATCTTTGGATTGCTTATTCCTTTTTTATACATTTCAGAATCACCTTTTGAATTGCAGGAAATTAATGAACCTGTAAAATGTCCTTTGTTTTTTCCTATACTTAGACAAACATTAGTCACATCTCTCATTAATTAAATCCAGTGATTCTGATGGCTTGAGAAACTAGTTTGAAACAAGCTACCCACCATAACATTATTATTCTATAGGACTGCAAAGTAAGTAAGATGATTCAGGCCTTTCTGACATCAAACAACTCTACATCTTCCTGTATTCTTTAAAATTTCTTTATTGAGCTTGTCTTTGTTCACCTTCAGTTTTACAAAAATCATTTTTGTCCCCTGTATGTACTTCTGCTTTGTACTTTCTCTGCTTGTTTTAGGATCTTCTTCAAAAAGTTACCTCCTCAGGCCGGGCACGGTGGCTCGCGCCTATAATCCTAGCACTCCGGGAGGCCGAGGCGGGCGGATTGTTTGAGCTCAGCAGTTTGAGACCAGCCTGAGCAAGAGCGAGACCCCCATCTCTACTAAAAATACAAAGGAATTAATTGGACAACTAAAATATATAGAAAAAATTAGCCCGGCATGGTGGCGCATGCCTGTAGTCCCAGCTACTCGGGAGGCTGAGACAGAAGGATTGCTTGAGCCCAGGAGTTTGAGGTTGCTGTGAGCTAGGCTGAAGTCATGGCACTCTAGCCCGGGCAACACAGTGAGACTCTGTCTCAAAAAAAAAAAAAAAAAAAAAAGTTACCTCCTCTTACCTCGTATTTCTTCTTATTCCTCTTTCCATAAACATGTTTGTTATTTGCCTTTAAACAAAGCAAAGTGTAAAACAAAACTTTCCTTAGTTACCATTCTTTCAAGCTATAGTCCCATTATTCCTCTTGTGCCTTGTACTACCAAATTTATGGAAAAATATAATCTTTACTCACTACCTATACGATTCCTAACTGGTTTTCATGTTGTTTTTAGCTTTTTTCAGAGTGACCTTTTTAAAAATAATTTTTAATTTACTTGGTCATTACATAAAATATAAAACAAAAATAATTCATATATTTATAACACTTGTTAACATTTGTTTTCATTATTTCTCTTTGGATGGACATGCTTTTTTATATAAAACTGGAATCATAGGATATATACTAAGTTTTTAAAATTTTTATATTGTAAGCATTTCATAGATATTTCTCAAAAAATAAATAACCATAGATGTGCCACGTTCTGTGGTTGTTGGATGTTTAAGTTATTTTTAATTTCTTGCCATAGCATAGATTCCTAGAAATCGAATTATTAGGCCAAAGCATAAAAGCATATTTCAGGCCATTTATATTGCAAAATTGCTTTCCATTAAGTAATAATTTGTAGTCCCACCAGCATCACGTAAGAACACCTGTGTAACTTCAACCTTGCCAGCATAAGATATTAATCACCTTTCTTAACCTTTATAGCTTGAGAGACAGATTGTGGTTATTTCTCTTTTCAAAAGATCCTATCTTTTCTCCCTCCCTA